CTAATACAAGCGACGACCTCCATCATTTTCTTCGTTGAGACAAACAAGAAGAAAAATCCAAAAAACGTAAAATTGAATAAAAGCAAATCTAAACTAAATCAAATTACACAAATACAATCAAATCTTATTGAATTGAATACTACACAAAATCGTCCAAAATCAATTATAATCTCTAAAATTTACAAAATCAAATCCAATTACAGTACAAATCGTTCAAAAATACAAAATTATATAAAGTACAAAATCAATTACAAATCTTAATCTAATCCCTATTCCTAAACTTTAAATCTAAACCCTAGTATCCTTATGAACAAAGTAGATGAAATGTGTCTAACACCTTCCTTTCGTCTAAAGTGAGTCAAGAACTTAGAATCTATGTATCAACTTTAGGGTTATTCTATTATATTCTCGTCGTTATGACAAAAATTAATGGTGGCGACTCGTTATTTTTTGTCGGTTATCACATCCATAAATGAGGAAACCAATTTCTTCTTCAAAAATTTCAATTTCTGCACAGACCTAGAACAACTTTTCAAATAAGTTGTTTTCCCAAAACAACTTCTAGAAACTTCCAAACTGTATTTGATAACTTGGCATGGCACTAGAGTTTGTTTGTCTTGTCTACTCTAACTTCTACGTCTTTTGGACAAATTGTTGAGTTTATATTATTGATTATATGAATATTTATTCTCTCTTTTTAGTTGTTTTTCTTGGGTTATTTATATATATAACAAACAAATAATTTTTTTTAGTTTTTATTTAAATTATTATTTCTTATCATTTCATTAATTATATTTTTTTATGAAAAAATGATTTCATAAACAGTTGAGTATGTTTGGATTGATGGTGGATAAAATTAATTTTAATAGAATTGAGTTTGATAAAATTGATTTTAGCATAATTGAATTTAATAGAATTGATTTATGTTTTGATATATTTATGTAAAAGTGAGTTGATCAATAAATTTCAGTGTAAAAATCATCCAAAATCAATTATAGAAAAAAAAAACTACAAATTCTAATTTCTAAATAAAATTAATTCTAAAGACCGAATCAATTCTATTTTTAACAAACCAAACACTTCAAAATCACTTAGAATCAATTTTATATTATTAGAATTAATTATAGATCTTATAAAATTGAAACCAAACATACAATTACAACTTTGTGGCTGGCCTATCCCTTACCAAGTAAGTAATCCAACCAAATTTTGGAACCATAAGTTTTTCTAACAGCAACTATATGGTGTGCATCATTGTTTAAGGTTCTAGTAACAAAAATAACTGAACAATCTTTAAAATATCTAAGTAACATAGTATAATTTAGAATTATGGGATTCAATACATCAGAGTAGAAAATAGAAGAAATATTAAATTTATAGAAAAGATAATTCATATATTTATTGTTTTAAAGTTTTAGATAAATATATAATATTAAAATGTTTTATATCCATAAACGTTTATAGGTAATTCATACTCGTGAGAAAGATTGTTGAGATTCAAATATAAATAATTAAGTCTCATATCTAATAAAATGAAAGATAAATTGAATTTATAATAACTCATACCCCATAATGTCTTACTATTTATTTGGGAGTTTTAAGGAGAGGTTAAGGAAGGATTTTGAAAAAAAATTATTTAATATTTAAAAATTTTTAATATTTTTTTTATAGAATGATAAAATAATGTTTTTCATTTGTCTATTTTTACTTTTAGAAATACTATAACAATAAAATTTATATTTGAATAATTTGTCTAAACCTTTTAAATTTTGTCAAACCTCTCCTCTTATACAATTTTTTGTTTTTCCAAATTAAGAGGATTTTGGTTTGTGAATAAAAATAAATCATCCAAAATCCTTTCCACTTAAATCTTTCTATTTTTTCCTTAGGCATTTCATTTTTTTCAAAGCCCTCTTCTTCCTTCCCTTCTAAACTCTCAAACAAAATCTTAAGATTTTTCGTAGATATGTGACATCAAGATCTTTTGGATCTCCAATGTTTGGCTCATTGACACTTATGGGTCTCGTTCTCTGGACTCTCTAACAAGTGATATTAGAGTCCTAGTTGGTTCGGTGGATAGCAGAAGTGAATTCTAGTGTGGATTAAGATTAGTGATGTGAGTGACTCACACTTGTGGAGAAGATGGTTGAATTTCAAGTATAAGTGGCAAAACGGTCCGGTCCGTTGAACATACTCGTTTTGTCTACACTTTAGTGATGGATAGACAAGGGTTTAAGCTCACATCCTCTAATGTGTCCACTCTAACTCGTCCCATATTTTTGTGGACTTTTTCAGACACATGCGTTTACATGAATTTTTGAATTTTTAGGCCTAAAAAATATATTATCTGCAGGCCCGCCATCACTTTTAGTATCGAGAGGCTCAAAATTTTAAGCTTGTGCCCTCAAGTATATCCTTCTTACCTTGTTTTTTATAGACTTTTATAAGACAATCTTACCGATTTGCCACCCCTAATTTCAAATGTAAAAATATTGCTGTCTCTCATTCACTAGGAATGGAGGAAATATTAAATTTATAATAAATATGATTCATACCTCTGTTACCTAAAAATTTTAGATTAATATTTGATGTCAAAAATTTTTTTATCCCCAATATTTAACTCATTGACCTTTCGAACATGACCTTAGTTCTCCAACAAACTATTTATTATTTCATTTGATTTTCTATTTACAATCAATAAATACTTTATAATATTTATGAAAAATATTAATTACTATTGTAGAAATGTTTTCTTATACTCCTTCTGTCTAATAAAAGTCGTCTCTCTCATTTTCACTTTTCATGCGTCTAAAATTATTAACCATTTAAATATTAGTATAAAATTTATAATTTTTCCATCAATATACTCTTATTTATTACTAATGATAACTTTATTTAACTATTCAAATAATTATAATTAATAAAAAATATTTTAATAAATAATATTAATTCTATTATTAAAATCAATATATTTAATTATTTTTAAAATTATTAATATAGCATAAGTATTTTTAAAATAAGTTACATAAATTATTTTATAACCAAAAATAAAACAAAATAAATTTATTTTTATATGCTATAAACTATTCTAAAAAATTATAAAAATATCATAGTTTATTTTTACAATTTTTTAAAAAAAGCATCCCAAAGTTTATGTCAATAAACAAGGTCAAATAACAGAATTAAGGTATATGAGTGATTTGAAGGACAAAAGTAAGGGTTTTAACAAAAGTGCCTTGACTTTAGCTAGCTTCTTGTGTCTTTTTGTATTTGTCCAAGTATCTAAGAAGTACTACCTACTGTTTGTTTCATGAAAAGAAGTAATTGAAACAAAAGAATAGAAAAAGGTGTTTTGGTGTGCAATTTTACCATAGGATAGTGATTAAAAAGTGCCCAATGCTAGAAATGGAATGAAAAAAAGAACCACTCTTCTCCTTATCTTCCGTGTCTTTTACTACTTTCTTGTCTCCACCACTTTTGTCGCTACTTTTTTAAGAATACTACCTACTATGCGGAAGCTTAATTATTTAAAATGATACTATTGGTGTGCTTTTGGGCTATTGGTATTTGGTATCACTTTGCAATTTGCATATTGCCTATTGCATGTACTATGATATATTGCTGGTGTTAGATACAACAAACACAATATGATGCTTATATTATGGATGTGCTTTTTGAGTCATGACAAAATCACAGAATAACAGTGATGGTTCGATTTATGTATGCAGATTAGTGCCATTAGCAGCAGTCAAACATTCCGTCTAGTTTTAACGTATTGGTGTCTCGGGCTAGCTAACCTTAGAAAATACTTTTAATTACATACTCTCTCCGATCATTATTATAAGTAAAAATTCTTTTTTAAATTCATTAATAATTACATACTCTCTCTGGTCATATTATAAACAAAGATTTTCTTTTTAAATTTATTAAATAATTGATGTATCCGATCTTATATAAAGACCAAATACATCAATTATTTAATGAATTTAAAAAAAAAATTACTTATAATATTGACAAAAGAGAATACTTATATTTGAAGTCAAATATTAATAGTGTTTGTAATCACATAGTGGAACACTCCACCAACGAACTTTCAGGATGAAGCTTGGATTCACAACTTCACAAGAGTCACATTTAACACAAGAGCCTCACAATGTACTTATAGAGATACCCTCTCTCTTGTGGTGTGAACTTAGTATTTGTGGATTATTAAGAGATGTGAAGTTATTAGTGAGAAGTACTTCAAAACATTTGTTAGTGTTGAATAGGAGAGATCAAATGCTCTTGGATATTTAGGTTGAAAAGTAAATAAAAATAATACTCCTAACAAGTAATGAGTACTAAGAGAACCTATTTTAGTACTCAAGTGAAAATTCCTAGATAGGAGAGATATGCATTCTCGCTGATAATTTGTATCTTTCTTGTGTCCAGTTAGTTACCAAGAGAGGTGTGTAATGTAACTAGCTTCTAAAGTAAAACAAAGCCAGGTATTAACATTTTAAGACTACTGTCCCAGCTTCTTGCATTCTCTGATTGATACATAAATTTCCCCCGAGCTCACACAAGCAGGGTCCATGAATTAGGACATAGTATCATATTTTCATAACAATAACATAGATTTTGTCCCATAAAATACCAAGTATAGCCGTGCTCATACTCCAGCATCCCCTCTAAAGACCTTCCTTATAAATCCTTGTTCAAGTGTTGCATAATTCACAAAAGCACATAGAATGAGAAGAATTTGATAGTATTGCATAACCAAATGCATATAAAAGGATTCCTCTAACCAAATTTTTCAAAAATGACATATTACATAACTGAAGTATGATATAAACCACTACAATTCTACCTCAGACCAAAAATAAAAATGTACCTACGCAATAAAAAGTGCATACTATGTTAGTACTGAAAAGATTTAAAAAGTATTGATATTACAAGTTTTGGAAAATATCATAAAATGGTGACTTCCGTAAGCAAAATTGTATTTGTTGGGGACGCAATCAGAGAATCTGAGCAGCCGTGTTCAACTTTTCGGCCAGGCTGAGCTGTGTCCTTGTGATACTAGATAAATATAGCATGAGCAAGTGATCCTGAAAACCACGAAACACTCTTGTCAGCTCAAAAACCCTAAGACGATGTGTTCATAAACAACTAATATTGCAAACAGGTCTGACAGCTAAAAGAAATATTTTCATAATTGTTAAACAAAATAAAAATAGTCCATGTCCCGTTAAGCCAGCTCAATTGGTAGTTGTGCAGGAACATCTGACTGCAGGGATGCAAGTTGGAACTTGCAACATCCCACTTATCCACTTTTAAGGGGTGAAATTTCGACCCAAAAAAAAAAATAGTCCCCTACAATTTCTTGATTTATTTAATGATCATAAATAGTCCACTGCACTACAACATAACCTGAAACCTAATCTTACCTGCAAGCTGTCATTCACAAGCTTATCAAAAGTCGAGGAGGGAATTTTGGGAAGGGAACCTACAACATCGGAAATACATTTCCCAATTTTGTTGTCTGGGACAACACGCCCTTCCACAACATCATCAACGTATTTGTAGGTGTCATCAATCAAGGCTAATAGATGTGTCATTGAAGCTTCCATCCCTTCTAAATCAGATGGGATTTTGTTAACAGCAGTTGCCTTCAGATTATCAACTGTAGATGCCAGAAGTTAACACACAATCAGGCTTTTAATCATTCAAGTCAACAGCATTCTTGTTCCATTATAGACATCTCAAAGCCACAAATTATACCGAAACACAGAACACAGAGGAAAGGCGGCTATAAATCATCCTTAATATAAAACAAGTGGAAATTATCAAAAAAACATGAATATAGAGAAGCAACCCAATCCCATAAAACCCCTTTAAAAGAGACCACAAAACCATCTGGAAGCCAATTCTAAAGGAACTTTTGTTAGAAACAAACAAAGACCCAAAACATGTAAAAATAAGTGGGAGTACTATTCCACACAATGCACCAAATTGTAACAAACATTGCACAGTAATAAAAATTTGGATTCATTTCAAAGGTAATTTAACTAAGTCATCAATAACTGGTTCAAGAACTGGAAACAGCCCAAACATATTACTCATGATAAAGATGATCTCGGCCACCAAAGTTTACTTGTTTTCGGTAAAACCATGAAAACATAACGACAGAAAATATAACCTGTCTGATTTTAAAGAGCACTTCACCGCGTGCAGTCCAAAAATAAAGGCTGCAGTGATGCAAGTCCGATTATTCACAAGAAAATGAACTTCCTGATTTTCAGGAAATCACCACTTCGCACAAGATAAGGCGAATATCATACCAGGTTTCCCAAATACAAACGGGACACAGGTCAACTTTTGGTTATGATCAAGGTGCAAACTTTATAAGTCGCAATGAAAAAAAGATAGAACAATGACACTTGGCTATATTGTTATCGGCATTGCCTCCTTTATCATTCTTTTTGTAAATGTCAACGATACATCTTTTCACAGAAAAATGAATTATCATTTTTAGCAGCAATTTCCATAAAAATCACACAGGGAAGAAAATTTAAAAAATTATGATGAATAAGAGCATTCAGTTTTAGTTGTTTTGACAAAGTATAGGGATAACTAGATTATATATACAAGAGCTAAAATCAAGTCATTATGTCCAAATACTTCTGATCAGAAAAGATTTTCTTTCAAACCTAACCCAAAGCAACATCATCCAATGGTCAATTAAAATAAAACTTAAGAACTACTCTCTGCATCCATGAATCGATGAAAGCAAGCAGATAACTTTGTTGCAACTTGCAAGTATTTTATAGAAGAAATATATAGCTTTGAGAAAGAAAAGAAAGGGGGGAAATGAATATTAAATATGAAAACCAATCAATACATACATCCAATGCGCTCAGCTTCAACCATACGAAGATCCAAAGGGATTTCTTGAAACTGTGCAGCAATTTGCTGGTCTCCAAGAGATAAACTGTTCGAAACATATGCTTTTATGGAGCCCTCTCCATCTGCAAATCCTGTATCAACTGTCAAATGTATAGGGTTGGAAACTTCTCGAGAATAAAACTCATGGATTAATGCACTGCCCCCAGTTACTCCAAGACCAGTTGAGTACCTGCATAAAGTAACCAAGCTTATCCTCACAGAACTTCAAAATTTTAACTTAGGTTCAAAAGTACTGGACTTACCATCCAACTATAACTTCCTTGGGATTCACTTTTTGATGGGATAACAACATGTTATGGTGGTACTCAATATCTAAAGCAACCTATAAGGAAAAATAAATGATAATTAGAACGAAGAGTTTTTTCACCATTTTATTTGAAATGTCAGTAAATTCTAACTCAATTGACGGAAGCAGATATTGATATTGTTAGGTTAGACATCAGGTGACGGTTGTGTCAGAGTTTCGAGTAGTAATTACCACTTCGTCTATGGAACCAAAAAAAAACTACGATTTGAAATGTCAATTTCCCTAACTTAGGATATAGCATAGTTTCAAACAATGAATAATCATCTAAAATGAAACATTGACAAATTCATAGAAATCAATATAATTTCAAAAGGATTGCATATGGAGAATGTGGAAGACCTGGTCAACGGACTCGTTGTGAGGAACAGCGTATGAATTTCGGATATCGACGGTTCCGTCGGGGAGAACGGAGCCGAGTAGCGTTCCGATGACGCGCTCCGCTTGGTCAGGACGACGGACATAGCAATCACAGATGTTGAAGATGACGAGAGGATGAACCTTCCCGGATAAGCTCTGCGTAGAAAAGAACTGCAACACGGAACGCTTGCTCGCCGCCATGATCGGAGATTCGATTCAGCAGGTGCGAGGAAGAAACCGTGAGAATCTCGTGAGTCGCGGGTGACAAAATTTGATAGGGTTTTGTATATGGGCCTAGGCAGGCCCAGACAAGTTGTCAGTGGGCTTATTAACACTATTAGAGGAATTTCTTAATATTTTTGTTTCTCAAGTTTAAGAAATACATCTCCGGATCTAGCAAATTTCAACATATTTTTGAACCAAACTCTGAATCAGTGAAAATAAATTATCAAAGATACATCTACGTATACATTACGTAGATGCATCTTCAGACGCACCTATATCTAGTACAATTTTGACCAACCCCTAATTTCACGTAAAAAAATATGTTGGAGATACATCTACGAAAGATTTACGTAGATGCATCTTCGGACGCTCTTCGTTCAAATATGTGTCATAGCGCCTTCCCCCTCCTCACTTTCTCAAACCCTTTCAAAATGCATTTTTCTAAACACCCTCCTACCACAATCATCTCAAACTCACTCATAACACATTCAATCTTCATCAAACAGCATCAGAGATCACCAAACATCCGACTACAAACAAAGTTGAGTAACAGCAAAAAACTTCAATACAAAAATTGTAAGTTTTATGTAAACTTTTTGAGTTTATGTAAAACTGTGTAGAATTTGATTTTTAGGTAATGAAATAGAAAGATTTTAGGTGTTTGATAGCTAACACCTGATGAGAAACGAGTTAGATAGTTAGTTTTTACTATCATTGCATTATTTTTTATGTTTTATGAGTCTGCATTCTGTCATTGATGGTGGTTAAAGTTGCAGGAATTTCTAGAGATGGATCTTCAGAATTTTTCAACGTCTATCCAAAAATTGGAGATGCATCTCTGTAAGCAACATGTTTGCAATGTTTTGTTTTTTCGTACAAGAGTCATTGTGTAACACTTGTCTATTCACACGAATTATGGTTGATAGATAATCAAGATTGAGAAATGTAGGGTTGCACAACATACATTCGTTCGGAGGGAAAATAGTCAACCATCTCAGGCTCCTTCTACCTCTAGATCAGTTGATACAGAGGCGTCAGTTTCCATGGCTCATGTATCTCAACCTTCTTCTTCATCTTCTCGTAGCAGACGAGGGTCCACTCCTTATAAATCCCCTCCTTTATCTTCATGTAAACGCCTAAGTTTACCTATTTAGGCTCCTGAGGTACCTCAAACACTAGAGACACCTGAGGCATCCCAGGCCCAGGCGGCAGAGCCAACACTTGAGGCACCTAGTCCCAAGGGCCAGTAGAGGCGTCATCTAAGTCATCCCATGCCCAGACAGTAAAGGCACCTTAGGATTTTGGAGGAGGCCCCCAAAACTTATCACTGCTGCATCTTTATTAGGACCACGTTGTCATACATATTTGGGACAAAGAGGTAAAAGGCAGTAGCACACTTTTGACGAGGCACATGACCTGTAGTATCACACTTTTGACGTTAATATTTCCTGGTCTTTTAGTGCTTGTGTGTTATTGTAATCATTACATTATTGCAACGTTATTACTTTTCAGACATGAATCCTCTAGCATTTCCCATGTATCTCCAGTTGGTCATATATATCAACTTATACTAAGGATTTGTCGCGTGCTTCTGCATTTTCTCCACTCAGAAGGAACCAGGCGATAGAGTCATTCAAAGTGTATATAGATTGCTTGGTCGCTGAGGATATACACTTTAATTGTTATGTTGATCACCGTGAGGCGATTCTCTTTGATGACGTAGTCTTGTACTCAGGATGATTAGCTTACGGGTCACGTTTGACATCTCCTTATATGGTACAAAATTCTCTAAGAGATCCACCTAGGCCAGCTCATCTGGAGATACTAGAGGTGGAGCAGGCTAAGGCAAATCATGGTGTTGATGTGTTATTTAGGTGTTGTCATATCATGCAAATTAGGCAGGCAGGTATTGATGGTGGATTCTTTCTGGATGGCTCTGCGGCGAGGGGGTTGTAGATGTCATGATGACGGAGGCTCGGGAGGCTCTATAGTACACGAGGTAGCATAGGAACATAGGGGCATAAGGCTGAGGCAGAGGCCAACTCTGAGTTTGTTATATGCAGTAGATTATAGTACTTGTAATCTTGATACATTTTGGGTTGTATTTTGTTTATCAACTTCGTTGTAACTTTTGGATTGAATTTATATACTCTTGACTTATAACTTTATATATATTTCATTTTCATCATATCCTTAGTATTATCGAATAATAGTATATCTTTAGCTATTTGAACTAAGAGTCACTTAAAAATAATCATAAATTACTACAAGCACATAGGGTGGTGTAAGTTGCAGTATCTATGAAAATATTTCCTCATAAAATTAATCAGAATTATGCAACATTTAAAATAGAGATACATCTCTGAAATGTTTATGGAGATTCATCTCCGAAACAAATTAATGTTTAACAAAAAAAGGTGTGTCCGGAGATACATCTCCGAAAATTGAGGGTTGTTTTGAGAATTACATAGGATCATTTTGAGGGACATATGGTGGCTTAAGAAATTCCCAATGTTTAGTTGATACTTGTATCTAAGTTTTTTTTAAAATGATTATGTCGTGGGAGAAATTATATCACTTTGTTGTGAGTTTTTTAACCACTCTAACCTAAAAAATTAGTCGTTATAAACCTTGTATTGGCCTAGAGAATGCCAACGGCCAAATACACTTGATTTCTCTATCTTTCATGTGTTTACTCAAGCTATTAATTTGTATGCATATTAGGATCTCCCTTATAAATAACTTAAATTGATTAGCCTTAAGCTAACAAGGATTACTTTTCTTTTATAGCTTCACCTTTTGGTACTTGAATCATACTCAATTTATTCAATTAGTCCTAGACCAAAAATAATACATATTCTCTTTTTGAGACAGTATTATAATAGTAAAGTGACTCATACATAACATCTTTCATCAATTCCTTACAACTTTTCGTTCTTATCCATTTTGCACGCTCAACATATGATATCAATATTTAGAATCCTATATTGTTCAACTTTTGTTATGGTATCACGACTCTAGCCAACTTCTTATAACTCTTAAGCCTATTAGGAATACTTAGTCAAGCACGCTCGTGACACCTAATGTCGCCATATTCGTACACATTAAAAACACAAGTAAAATCTATAGACAACACATCTAATATTCTCAATTACAAAATATATATATATATATATATATATATATATATATATATATATATATATATATATATATATATATATATATATATATATATATATATATATATATATATATATATATATATATATATATATATATATATATATATATATATATATAAATATAAACCTTAATTCATATAAAACTAGTAATGTTCCCCTAAGTTACAGGTGATGAATTCAATTATTTGGGAATTAAATATCTCACATAAATGGAGTTATCACACTCCTCAAACTTGATCCATTACTTTTTCAAAAATATGGCATAAAGGTTGCATAGAAATTTATTAATTGATTGAACTAATTTTAATGATAGAAACATATTTCATACATTTATATACATTCTAAAACACCGCTTTGAAATGATTCATAAGTTTAAAATTGAATCATGAAGCATTGAAATGAGTTACACATATTATGACTGAAAACATGAAATATTTTAGGTTGGTAGTCGAATACCAATATGTGGTAGTCGTCTACCACTCTCCCAATGTTCAATTTTTCAAAATTTGAACAATGGTATTCTAGTATAAATATATGGGGTAGTCGACTACAAAAACTAAAAAAAATGAAAACTTTTAAACTGGTAATCAAATATCACTTCTTAGTAGTCGACTACCACTTTGTCTTTTTGCTTAAAAATGAAATTTTAGTGCATGGCTTTATGAATGACGTTGCAAGAAAGGTTAAGATAAAGTGAGAGATGAATTTTCTAAGCAATTGAAAGTGTTATAGTATGGATTTCAACAAGTATTTTAGTTATTCTTTTTATTCTCAAATGTCACTTAAATTCCAATGTTCATACAATCTTAATCACCTTCATTTATGATGCATATGATACTTTTTGGTCCTTTTTCTTCTTTGATGATATTTGTTCTAATCAAAACTATAACTTGATATATTATGTATTCTTCATAGAAAATATAACTCAAAATATAAATAGTTAAATATAAATCTTATACTAAGGGTGAAGTTGAGCTTGAGAAGTTTTGAGTGAAAATTTCCCTTCTAAGTGGAAATTTTGAAAGAGCGTGGATGGAAAATGAGTTGAAGTACTATTATTATAGGATCAGGAACCTAGGTTGCGTTGGCCATAATTTCCTCCCCTAGGTGTGCACCAACGGTTGCAATGTAAACCTTCACATATCTCTATTCCTAACATGTGTGAGGGAACCAAGGGTCTAATACAAACATAGCTTCCCAAGACAAACCCATCATGAGGATAATTTAATGTTTCAAGTGCTTACCTAAGTGGGGATTGAGGGACTCGGCCTAAGCTTTACTCGAAGGACTCCTCATAAATTTTGCTTGAGGGACTTGTAGAGTCTTTAAAATGGCAGTACACTTAAGTTAACTCACTTCACCCTTCCCAAGGCCTCGTGCTTGAGGGGTTGTTGATTGGGGTGATTTTATTAGACCTAAAAGGGTTGATCAATGATAAAATGACCTAAATTAAGGGGTAGAAGTGTTGGGTGTGTGTCTTAAGTATACTAGGTCGTCAAAAGCTCACAACATATCTCCCACCCTGGTTGGGCTTGGGCTATCCCAACTAAAATCCTTATATATGTCATTTATCACATATGGCCTACGAGGTGTACAAGAAAAAATTATATCCTCGCGTTTTAGATCATGGAGCTCAAAAAAAAGTTTTCTAACTTTATAGTCCAGACCCAATGAGTCTTCTATAAAGATCTTAATCCCATAAATATGAAATACATAGAGTCTAGTCCATAAATTCTAGAGAGAAATACATAGAGTCTCTCATAATCCCTACGTGGACATATTCTTTCTCTC